CCCCTAGTCTAAGTGATATAATGTTTGAACGTCTGCTGCTGCTTAAAACAAATTTGTTTTTTAGCAAATTCTAAATTTTATTTAAAAGTTAATAGGAATTCTACTGATATCCTAGCCGGATATCCGATTATCTGACTGGATAATAACATTATCTAGTTTTCGATAATTTATATTGGATTATTTAAAAATTTATTTTTAAATAATCTAATATTAATGGTTTCTATTCAATATTGTTATTATTATAAATATTAATTTATTATTCAAATACTATTAAAATTAAACGCAACAAACAGGCTTGGTTGGGAAGCGGGAGCGATCGCCCTCGATTGCTGACCACGTAAATAATATTTAGTTGCGAAAAGCTGGCCAGATTTTTTAGTCGTTTTGAGAACATTTTAAAAAGCAAAAAAAAAAAAAAGTGACTAAAATAAATTGGACCGATGAGAGACAATTACAAAAAAAAAATGTAGGCAAATAAAACATCTTTAAACGCGAAAAAACCTTAAGCTAAATAAATTACACTTAGAACAAATATTTTCTTAACATCGGTTTTTTATAACTTTTTTTATAAAATTAAGCGATGTTTTTTATATAAAGTAACAACTTACGATTGTTAAAAAAAGAAACAAATATTCTTTATTTAACTAAATTTGAAAGTTTTAGTTTTACTTAAGCTTTATTTATTTTATAAATAAAAAAGTTAATTTTTTTGATACCTATTTTATGTTTCGGGTAGTTTGAAAAGTTTAACATATTTGAAGCGATTCTTCTTAGTAAGATGAACAAATGAAATAATTAAATCATTGAATTATTATAGGAATTAAATTATCAAGATAGAAATCAACTAAAAAGGTTAAAAATACTTAATGACCAGCAAGCGAAACTGCTTCACAGTATCGCTAATGTTTAGTAAGTGGGCTTTTTAATTTTAATTAGTATTTAAAGCAGAAAAAAGTATAACGAGTTTTAAGAATGGCAACTTAAGCAAAAATAATTAGAGTTAGTAAACCAATATCTAGAAACTTTTCTTTATATCTAAATATTTGCTATTATATATTTGTGTTCTGTCGTGACCTCAGGCGGGATGCTTGTTCATCCGCGAGTTACTTTGTATGCGTTGTTTGTGTTTAGTAACCAGAAACTTCTTATATGTTTGTTACATAATTAGTTTTATTAACTTTAACGATTATAACTTCATTAAAAACGCAATTAATTTTGTAAGTCTTTGTTTAAATCATAAAAATTGCTTTAAAAGATACATTACGATAAAAAACAAATACACAAAATTACATTTACATATAGAATACAATCTCTTTTAAAATAAAAAATAAGAATATACTAATAAAATCTATGATTTATAATAAACTTTTAACATTTTGAACTTCCTTGAGCAGCTGAAGAACATTCCATTTTATGTTTTTTTTTCCTTTTCATTTAATTTACAATGAAATTTTTTGGCGTGCTTATGCAGTGGAGTTGTAGAAAATGACTGCTGACCAGACTTACTACACCCCTGCTTATCTGCTTTCCACATGGAATGCAAATAGCTATGGAATTACAGCTGTCACTAATTTTAAAAAGTTTCCTAACAAAACTCGCCATTTTGAAGGGTTACTGTGTTAACTTTTATTTTAATGTAATATTTATCTTAAAGTTAAATTACATTATCCATATCCGGCCGGATGCGAATAATATAACTTAACTATAATACAATTGTTAAAGTATAGTATAGTTGTTAAATATCCGGGTATCGAATAACTGGCCAGATAATTCAAAAAATGTTATCCGGGACACCCCTAAAATAAAAACAACACGTTTCTTTAATTTTGCTTATGTAAACGTTGGCCTTCGAATAAGAATTTAAAAAAAATAAACGCATTACTTTAGCAATTTTTTTTTCAAATTAGTTTTGCAATTTTATTTATTATAAAAAACACATACTTATAATAAAAAAACAATTAATTTCAGAGACTTAAAAATAAATGCCAAAACATAATCATTTTTTTCAATAGCGTTATTTTAAGCTATTGAAAAATTTTTTTAACGATCATAATGTTTGGTTGCATGGTTTTTTTTATGTAATTAGCAATTACATTGAAAGTTTAAAGCAAATGAATCCATTGTAAATAACACTTTGCATGCTTTTTTTTCAATTTTCTTATTTTCCTTAAAGTGAAGTAATGTTTGTTTACATATTAAAAATAATTAAAATTTTTTTTTTTAATGTGCATTTATCATTAATTTGCTTGCACTTTGCAACTGTGTAAAAAAAAGTTTTTGAAAAACAAAAATTAAATAAATTTACCAAGCATCTTTGATGTATTTAATAACTTATTAACTAAAATAAAAATTATTTAAAAATAAAACTCTTTTATTTGACATAATTCTCTTAAATTAGACGTTTGTCATTAAATAGAGATAACTAAGTCAACCTTCATTAAAAAAAAACGATATGTCGCACCCTGGGATAATAAAAAATAGTTGGCAGATTGTTTCAAGATTATATTAATTCATTTTTTAATAATTTTTTATTAGAAATTATATTTCCATGATAAAATGGTTTAAATTTATACTTTGATAGCTTCTGTACTCATTTTGCAAACTTTAATTTGAATATTTTTTTCAATGATTGCCATTTATAACATTGCAATAAAGTACTGAGGAAATTTTGTAGCAGTTTAAATGTAATTATGTAATTAATTAAATTAAAAATCGCATTTACATTTGGTTTGTTTTTTTGGCGCATTTTTTAAAAGTGCTAATTGTCAAAACTTGCAAAGAGCCGTGGCTAAGCTGTCAAAAGAAAGTATTATATGCATGGTCATTAAGGCGTGCGACCGCACGCCTATTACGCGAAGGTCTGTGTGTGTGTGTGTATATATATATATATATATATATATATATATATATATATATATGAATAAAAGTATTCAGTTGTTATTATTATATTTATTTATAGGAATAAAAGTATTTGATTTTTGTGTCATCACAAATAATGCAATGGAGAAAAATTAATAAAGCAGTTTTTTATTTAAGTCAGAAAGTACAATACAATCAAATGTAGAACAAATAAATATTTCTGATAATAGAGTCGTTTCGAAAACATTTCTTTAATCAATAATACTTACTAGTTTTGTAAAGAAAATCAATTTAAACAAAAACGAAGGTAGTTGCAAAAATGAAAAACAAACTACCCTCTTACCGCAAGTGTTATCTTTAGAAAACGTTTAAAAAACTTAACATGAGTTCAATGTTGTTTCTTTGATGTTGAATCAATGTTGATATTTCAACACTGCTTTCTTGTTTCCAAATCAATGTCAGGTCAAAATTAATTTATAGACGTTGAACCAATGTCAATATCTAAACGTTGATTTTTTATTTTTAAACGTTGAATCAACGTCAAAATGCTTGCTGGGTATATCAGGCACACATTCAATTTTTTGTTTGACACCAAGAAAGTTTTATTAAATTTTTGTTTGACACCAAGAAAGTTTTATTAAACCATTATTATTTGTTAAAATTAAAAATAGTGAAGTCCCTCACTTCTTTAGCTGAGTAGTTCTTAGAGTAACTGAAAGGGCATAAAATGTCCAAATTAAAGTATTAAACTTTAAAACTGGTGTAAAATCAAATTAAAATAAGAGATAGGGCAGAAGAGTAGGATCTCCTTTACTTTGAAATATTGCTTTCATTCTTTAAAGGATTGACTTTGATTCAATAATTCACATACCAATCAAGTCTTTTCAATTTGTTTACATAATTTATTATTAGTTTTCACATTTCAAAGAAATTTTGGATTAGATTCAAGCCAGGGCGTTACTCAGGCCACACCATTCTAATGATATTTTTGTACTTGAACTTGAGCTGTTCAACTTTTGACATATATTTGGGGTCATTGTCTTGTTGAAAAATTCACCTTAGGGACATCTTCAATTCAGCATGTGGCAACATAACATCTACCATGATGTTTTTGTATATAAAGTGGTCCATAATTACTACTACTACTACTACTACTACTACTACTACTACTACTACTACTACTACTACTACTACTAGTAGTAGTAGTAGTAGTAGTAGTAGTAGTAGTAGTAGTAGTAGTAGTATTATTAGTAATAGTAGCAGTAGTGGTAGTAGTAGTAGTAGTAGTAGTAGTAGTAGTAGTAGTAGTAGTAGTAGTAGTAGTAGTAGTAGTAGTAGTATAGTAGTAGTAGTAGTAGTAGTAGTAGTAGTAGTAGTAGTAGTAGTAGTAGTAGTAGTAGTAGTAGTAGTAGTAGTAGTAGTAGTAGTAGTAGTAGTAGTAGTAGTAGTAGTAGTAGTAGTAGTAGTAGTAGTAGTAGTAGTAGTAGTAGTAGTAGTAGTAGTGTATGCTTCCACTTTTCTTGGTATATTTAGTGTTGTATCTGGTTCTTTTCCGCCTCCAGACTCATTTCTTATTATAGCTTCAGAAAATGTTATATCTTGTTTTATTACTAAAAAGCATAAACTTCGATTGGTCTTTGTCAAATATTGGTGGGCATTGGCAAATGCAAATCTTAGATTACTATTATTAAAAGAAAACAACTTTTAGCTTGATCATTTTCAATTTGAAAATCTTTAATAATATTTTTACATGAAACACTTCCTAATATGTTGTAAGTTATTTTTAATTGTAACTTATTACCTGACATCTGTTTTTAGTTTTATGCTTTTGTGAATAAAGCGCACATATGTGGCCTTGAAAATACCTAGCAAAATATCTTTTATAATTCTATTTAGCCCTTAAATTAGAAATTTCAGAAATTCATCCCCTTTGTGCTTATAGACATTATTTACGCTTAAAAGAGATAAAACAATTAAATTACAAATATTTTTCACGTTTTTAATACAATAGATAACTGAAAAATATATGTGTAACTGTTAGACACTTGTTACTGCAGATGGCTTTGAGAAATAGAAATATATATGATTCAAATTAATTCAAATCCATGATGAAATGGATGATGTTAGTTATGTTTGCTCACCTATAGCAATTGTCAGCAAGTTGGTCACTAATAGCTCTATTGCCAGCAAGTTGGTTACCAATAGTTGGTGAGCGAGTTGTTCACCAACAGCTCCATTGTCACCAGGTTGAATACCATCACAGAAATAATTTTATCATCATCATCTGAAAATTATATTAGTTCCAAATATGATGCTAATGATTCATCAGAAAAAACTAGTTGTTATAATAAATAATTAAGAAATTAATGATAACAAAGGGCTGTATACAAAAAATTTGCTGATAACAATGTTATTGCAAATAATAAAGAAAAAAACTAATTTTTGATAAAGCAAATAAAAACATAAACTGGTCACTGAAACAAATAATTATCATTCAAGAAGAACACATTCTTCTCCTATAAAGAAAATCCACAAATTGGGTTGATATTATTTCAAATGATATCTTAATATTTAAAACAATCTGTTTACAATGGGAATAATAATTTTTCATACAGGGGAAAACAGGGCAAGATGGCAAACGTTTTGAAAGGCTTGAATTATCAAATAAATTATCACAAAACTATTACTCATGAAGCAATAATTCTTTGTCAGTATGTTATCTTAATTATTCATTGCCTGCATCAATTTTCAGTTTGCAATTAGAAAAATTTGAAATAAAAATTAAAATAAAATGCTCATAAACTTGTCATTTGGTCTTGTGACAGGGGCAAGATGACTTATTGAGCAATTTACACCTTCAATTTTATAAAAATTATAAAATTACCAATTACTCTAACTAAAGTAACACAAAAGAAACTTGTCCTAAAAAAGTTATACCTGAAGGACACCATCGATTATGAATAATTAAAACCAAGATATTTTTTAATTGCAATAAGTAAACTTATATAAACTTGCTTTAACAATATTTTAAAAAATTAGTGTTTTAAAACACAAGATGTAAATATAGATTCATTTTCACCCATTTTTAAGTTTTTTTGTTGAGTTTTTATATGAAAAGCTATCTTGCCCCATTTTTCACTACATGATTACTGGAGACAAAAACAAACTTATTTTGCTATTTACACAAATTTATTATTATCTTCATTTTTGCAATGAGATAGTTGCAATGCAAAGGGGACAAATTTTTACAACAAACTTTTTAAAGAGCTTGTGTTGCTAGATAACCTTTGTTCTAACTTCAGAAATCTATATAAACTAAAGACATTCACATTGATTCCCTTAAAAGTTATGAGTATATCATAACTTTTAAGGAAATATACAATCATTTAAAAAGTATATCTAACTTTATAAAAACATGTATTAAAAAAAATTATGAAGCCTGAAAAAAAAGTTTAATTTTTTATAGATAAAGGAAAAACAAATTATACTTGTTTTTTTATATATAACTTTTTTTTTAGTTTAAAAAATGTCAAATTTTCACTTATATAAAAAACAAATCATAAATTTGTACAATTATTAGGATTTGTACAAAATATAGTATTCCAACTGTAAATATTAGATCTGAACAAAATATATAGTATTCCAACTGTAAATAATGGGCTATTAATGTGGTGAAAATATAGTATAATATATAAGGAAAATTGTGTAAACAACACACTAAAACCCATTAAAAAAACCTTTGGATAAGACTCCCTTGATAGATTTGTGAAATAAAAGGTTTTTATTGTAAAAAATTTATCAATTTTTGGCAACTAAAAACAATTAAATCATTTAAATTCATACTTTCCTATTAAAAATATAACTTTTAATTCTTTAGGTATATTTTTAATTTATTGATAAACTATTCATATATTATTCTTAAGACCAAAAATAGTAAGGAGGAGAAAAATGTTTGTGTGTGTGTGTGTTTGTGTGTGTGTATCCAAAATTATTAAAACTATCATTTTTATATAAAAATGATATTTCAATTTAGATCTTTTTTAAATGGACTAAATCTACAATATCTAATTGTAGTAATTGAGCAAATTAAAAATACAAACAACATTTACAACTAGACTATCTTATTAAAAATAATCATTATATAAAAATTGAATTATTTGGCAAGGTGAATAAAAAAAAGCAATTGCTTTTACTCAGTTATTGGTCAGTTTTACATGAATAAAAACTTCAACAGTTTTTTTACAAACTTTTGTTTAAGTAAAGTTAAGCAATTTACGCAGTAATTGGTCAGCTTTATGTGAATAAAAACTTAAGCAAAATTGCTGAAATTTTTATTCACGTAAAGCTGACCAAATACTAAGTAAAAGCAATTTCTTTTTTTTATTCACCCGGCCTATAAACTTTTTTTTATTGTAAAACATATTGGGTTTCCACACTCAAAAATTAATCAACTTTTTCCCAGAATTTATTAAATTTATAGGATATTATTGTTCTTGTCCTAATTGATTGTTATTGATATATAGTTTACTACTTAATTTGAAAAATAAAATCCCATAAAATGGAAAATTTAAAAAACTTTGATTAAAAAGTAAATACTCATATAATTTTTAAACATTACTATTCACACAAATTTACATAAAATAAAACAAATTTTTAAATAAATAAAGGTTTTTTAAGTTTATATAGTTAATCATAATATTTTAAAACAAAATAAGAATAGAAAAAAAGTTTTTATCAGCAAAAATCCATAAAATGTATTCTATCCTGTAGTTTCTGTTCTGCACTTAGTTTCTGTTCTGCACTTATTTTTAGTTCTTTTGATTCTTAATTCAAGAGTACCTAAAAATATAAGAGTATAAAGATATTTTATTAAATAATAAAAAAAATGCAAAAAGAAAATAAAACAAACAAAAAAAAAGATTTAACATTTGTTTTTATCTAAGGATAAAAACAATGTATAAAGAAACTAAAACAAAAAAAAAAACTTTTTTGCCGACCTGATTAGCATCAGGTCGGCAAAAAATGTCTCACCATAAAACATAGAAACAAGGTTTATATTTATATATACACACACAGAAATTTCAGGAAAATTTTTTTACTGAATGCAATAGTATTTGGGTCATAAAACTTAGATATCCTAATTTTGATGTCATTATGGGAAGTTTCAATGGAGTTGAGGTATGTGAGTTAGCTGGCCACTTTACTCTGCATACAATAAGTCAAAATTATGGGTTGTAATCTGTTGGATTATATAGAGATGATGGACTTTACTATTTTATGGGATTATGGACCACAATTTAAGAGAATCAAAAAAAAGGTTGTTTGTCTTTTTAAAGAGAAGTTTAATCTAAAACTAGCAATAAAAAACAACTTAAAAATTATAAACTATATCATGTTTGCAAGTAAAAAATTTTCTAAAAAGAGAAAAAAAATCTCCAGTCATCACATGTTGATATGTAAAAATATTTTACACATCAACATGAATTTTAACTACCCCCCTAATATGATAAAATCCATACTAACCATATTATCCAACTGTATTAACAAAATTTCATCAAGTAAAAAAGTTTGCAATAGAGCAACAACATTTTATAATAATGCTTTAGCAGCTAATGGGTATAATTAAAAGATTACTTTCCAAAAAATTCATGTTTTAACAAAAAACCAAATATTTCTATGCATTGTATTTCAAACAAAATTGGAACGAATTTGCAGGTAATATATTTTTCTTTAAGCAATATTCATTATTTAAACATAATTTTTTCATCTCGTGCAAGTAGATGACATTTTTTATGAATTTTGAAATTTTTAAAGATTGCCAAATAAATGGAGACCTAAGCTTAATATACACATGTTAATGACACATTTTATATTTGACCATGTATAGATGAAGTGTAGAAAAATCAAGCTCCTAGCTTCATATTGCGCCAAACTATTTTTTTTAAAGTTACTCGAGAAAACAGAGGTCAATCAATCACAAAAACCATACAGGTTTTTGCGCAACATGATGCCACAGTCATAGCAACCTTAAATTTTTTTCTGTAAGTTCCTTAAGGATATAGATGCCAGATTTAAAATATACATCTGTGTATCTTGGGACAAAGCCTCCCCCCTATGAGGCAGTGCCCCAACTTGACTTCAGTACTAATAGGGCTATCAACTCGAAATTAGTCCCATGCTTAATTATATGTATATTATTTTGCTACAACTACAATCTTCTATTTTAGGGTCTAAACATCTCTCCCCCCCATGCCCACTCAATAATTTATGTATTGTAGGATACTAATTTTTTTATATTTTAGCCTAAGTTGAACTGGATCGAGTTGAGGATTCAACCTTTGGCAATAATCTAAACAACTTATCCATAGATGAGTCATTTTGATTGCTTATTTTAAGCAATCAAAATGATTTTTTTGTCAAGTATAAAGTTGAGTCATCAGCAAAAAGAGCTTCTTTAGATGTAAGGTTGTCTGGAATGTCGTTAATGTAGATAAGAAACAATACAGGACCAAGGATAGAAACTTGAGATCCTAGAAGTTACTAGAAATGAAGAAGGGTGTTGGCCTTTAAATATGACTTTAATAAAGCGGTTTGAAAGAAACGATTTGATAATCTCAAAGACTTTCTCAGATACACCATATAAAGCTAGCTTATGGAGAACCCCCAGTTTAATAACAATTGAATACTGTTTGAATAAATGCTCAAAATTTATATTGCAAAAATCAATGAAAAAACAATAAATATATGACTGCAAAAGAGTCAAAACTGACATATTTTATTTTATTACTGCAAGAGTCAAAACATTCTAAGTTAAAAAATTTCATTAAAGAATTTCTTTATAAACTATGTTACTCTCGAGTCCCTAAAAAGCCTGGCACTTAGTCCCTAACAAGCCTCTTATAAGCCACTTAGTCCCTCTACTTAGTCCACTCTAATAAGCCACTTAGTCCCTAATAAGTCTCGCACCAGCCTCGCACCCCTTCTTCATTTATTAGGCTGGCACACATGCATTTTTAATACATTGTTTCCAGTTTAGGATGTTGAACGCTGGATCTTCTTGACTCGATGCATGGGTTTTGCTTGTGTCTCTGTTTTTATGACTAGGCAACTCATTCTATTATCTCCAAACGAGGGTACAGCTCTAAAATTCAGTTTTATGGTTCTGAGGCCGGCTGGTAGTCAGGTTTCCCGAACTTTGTGGTAGCTCTCAGAGAGGCTGATTCCATCAACAGCTGAAAAATATCAGAGTACTAAAAGTGCCATGTTGCGCATGGATGGTGTCCCTGTTTGTACTTTTGGTGTGCATTGCAGAGGCCACATTTGGAGCCCTTTGTTACGGCTTAGGGTTTATTAATAGTAATGAGGCTATTGCTTAGTTGTTAAATAGTGTACTGAGTACTATCTATACTTGAGTCAAGTTCTTTATAAATTTAAAATGACTAAAGTACCTAAAACTAAAAAACACAAAAAACCACAGTCATCACCAAGTTCGCTTAACCTATCATTCACCAATATTCATGGTCTTTGAAGTAACTTATCTTCTGTTGAGTCTTATCTCTTGCAAAGTTCACCAGACTTACTAGCTCTTTGTAAGACTAATTTGAGTTCCTCTGTCTCATCTTGTGAACTTAGTGTTGATGGTTATCTTCCTTTAATTCGTAAAGACTCCAATATTCACATGCTTGGCCTCGGCATTTACATTCGTAAGAATTCTCCCGTTTGTCGGGAAACTAGGTTTGAATCCACAGACTACTCTTTTATGTGCTTTCGTTTAGCACCACTTCACTCTATCACCTTTCTCTTTGTTCTATATCACTCTCCTTCATTTCAAGACTGCACTCTTCTTGATGTTATTTCTGATTATATTGACCAAGTCCTCATTCTTTATCCATCAGCCAATATTGTTGTTGTCGGTGACTTTAATGTTCATCACACTGAATGACTTGGCTCTAGTGTCAGTGACTCTGCAGGCATTAAGGCCTACAACTTTTGCCTTTCTCAATCCCTAACTCAAATAGTCAACTTTCCAACTCGCTTTCCAGACAACCCGAATCATTTACCTTCTCTACTCGACTTATATCTTGTTTCTGATCCTAGTCAGTGCTAAGTTTCTTCACACTCACCCTTAGGTACCTCTGCTCGTGGTTTGGTCTCTCTAAAACTATTACTCATTCTTCTTTACCATCAGAATCCCCCTATCATCGTACATCTTACGACTACCTTAAAGCTGACTGGGACTCTTTCCGTGATTTTCTTCAGGATGGCCCCTGGGTAGAAATCTTTTGTCTTCCTGTTGACAAACGTGCTTCTTACATAACATCGTGGATTCAGGCTAGCATGGAATCCTTTATTCCCTCTTGACGATTCCAGGTCAAGCCTCACTCTTCTCGATTGTTTTCCTCAGATTGTGCTGCTGCAATTGCCAATCGAAACCATTACTTCCATATCTAAAGCAAAACAATTCTCAAAAAAACAGACGTCTGTTTATTACTGCTAGGAACCATTGTAAAAAAGTTTTGTCTAACGCCAAAGCCCGCTATTCTCAGACCATGAAATCTCGTATTTCATCACAAAAATTAGGCTCTTGTGACTTCTGGAGAATCTTTAATAGTATCAATAATAAGGGCAAGTCAGTAATTCCACCTCTTTTGTATGGTTCAGACTTTGTCACCTCACCTAAAGACAAAGCTGAATTGTTTGCCAAGAACTTTTCATCAATATCATCTCTTGACTCCACTAGTTGTGTTCTACCTGATATAGCCGTCAAACAGGTTGATCCATTGCTCAACATCCATATCACTCCAGCTTCTGTATCTAAAGTGATTTCCTGCTTAGACTCCTCTACAGCTTGCGGCCCGGATAACATAACCGTTATAGTCTTGCAGAAGTGTTCTGCGGAGCTGTCGTCTATCCTTTCAAAACTATTTAATAAGTGCTTATCAAAGTCTTTTTTTCCAGCCTTCTGGAAAGCAGCATCTGTTATTATTATTATTTTTAAAAATTCTGGAAAGCGATCTGATTTGTCTAACTACCGTCCCATTAATCTTCTTCCTATCATAAGCAAGGTTTTTGAATCTTTAATTAACAAACACTTAATCTCTCATCTCGAATTTCATAACCTACTTTCTGATCATCAATATGGAATTTGATCTTCTTGTTCTACAGCTGATTTGCTATCAGTAATAACCAATAGGTTTTATTGCGCAATAGATAAAGGTGGAGAGGTTAAGGTCATCGCTCTTGACATTTCTAAAGCGTTTGATAAAGTTTGGCATGCTGGTCTTTCTTATTCTGGGGCGGATCTTCTAATGATGCCCTTTCTCTTTCAGACAAGGTGCAAAAACGCATTGTAAACATAGTTGGACCTGCTCTTGCAGCCAACCTTCAACCTCTGTCACATCGTTGTAATGCTGCTTCTCTTTCTTTTTTCTACAAATACTATAATGGCCACTGCACTAACGAGCTAGTGCCTCTTTTGCCATCTACTAAAATTCATTCTCGTGTTACTCGTCATTCAATTAAGTCTCATCCTTTTTCTGTTACTGTTCCTAAGTGCTCCAAAAACTCTTACTCGTCTAGTTTTTTTCCTCAAACATCAGTTCTTTGGAATTCGTTTCCTTCATCTTGCTTTCCTGATTCATATAATTTGCAATCTTTTAAGTCGTCTGTCAAACGTTATCTTGCTCTACAATCTTCATCTTTTCTCTTCCAGTAACTTCCAACACTAATTAGTGGCTGCTTGCAGCCTTGTTGTAAGCAAAGATGTTTAAAAAAAAAAAAAGGAGGGGGGAGGGAAGGTTTATTAATTTTTGAAAAATTTTCCCACCCATCCTAAGCCTATTATGCCCCCCCCCCTTTTTTTTTTGGAATTTTCTTTTTTTTTTTTTTCGCTCATACATTAATGTAAGCTTCATCACTGCATTCTTACAAACAGTATTTTTCTTGATAAGTAACAATTTGACACAGGGTTCCCACTATTAAAACTGAGGTTAAATTTAAGGATTTTAAGGAGATTTAAGGAGATATTTTCCTAATATTAAAGGAGATTTGGTTGTGAACTACAATTTTTTGAAAGAAAAAATAAGGATTATTAAGGAGAAAATGATTATATTAAAAACAGAATCTTTTTTTTTTTCAATTAATTTTAAATGTAAATAGAGAATTTATAATAAAATAATATATTATTATATATATATACAGTATCAGACAAAACATGGTGGACAAACTCAAATTTAGAACAAAAGTTTATCAAAACTAAAATAAAAAATAGTAAAACAATTGTACATATTATAGATCCATTTTTGTCATCCCCAAAATTAATCAAAAAAGTTGAACTACAAATCTCCAATCGCGCTGTGTGATGAAGAGCTAACGAAGCAAATTTGTTTTCTAGAATGTCTGCCAAGAAACCACTCACTTCTTTTAAAAATAGAAAGCTAAGACTTGCGTTTGCCAAAGCACACCAAAACTGGACTGTAGACCAGTGGAAAAACTTTTTAGTGATGAATCAAAATATAACATTTTTCTGAAGCGACGGCAAGAAGCGAGTCTGGAGAGCAAAGAATACCAGATACAATACTAAATATACCAAGAAGAGTGTTAAGCATGGAACATCTGCTATGGTTTGGGGATGTTTCTCAGCACTAGGAACTAGTCCTATTCACAAAATTAATGGTATTATGGACCACTTTGTGTACAAAGATATAATGGAAGATGTTATTTTACCACATGCTAAATATGAGATGTCCCTAAAATGGATTTTTCAACAGGACAATAACCCCAAATATACGTCAAAAACTGTAAAACAATGGTTTAAGGACAAAGATATTACCGTAATTGTGTGACCTGCACAAATCCCTGACTTGAATCACATAAAAAATTTCTGGGAAATTATTGACAATAAGATTGAGCGTGCAAATTTGAAGACCGGTGAGGAATTATTTGAACAAATCGAAAAGGCCTGAGGAGAGATTGATATGGGAATTCTTGAGTTATTAATTGAGTCTATGCCTCAAAGAATAAAAGCAGTAATTGAAAGTAAAGGAGGTCCTACCAAATATTAAGTTAATTTCTGAGGTTTTTTGAAAAATAATTAGTTAATTTTTGAAATATTTTGAACTTTCAGTCGATTTTTTGAATGTCCACCTTATTTTGTCCAAAGAAAAATGTAGTTTGTTAATGTAAATGTGTTATAAAACGTTTTGGGGGATTTTTAGTATTATTCAAAAGTTTTAAATTTTGTTAACATCATAATAAACTACTTAAAAATTATTATGTTTAACTGTTTTACTACTTTTTTTCAGTTTATAATCAACTTTTGTTTGAGTTTGTCCACCATGTTTTGTCCGATACTGTATATATAATAATATAATAGTTAATTTTTGAAATATTTTGAACTTTCAGTCGATTTTTTGAATGTCCACCTTATTTTGTCCAAAGAAAAATGTAGTTTGTTAATGTAAATGTGTTATAAAACGTTTTGGGGGATTTTTAGTATTATTCAAAAGTTTTAAATTTTGTTAACATCATAATAAACTACTTAAAAATTATTATGTTTAACTGTTTTACTACTTTTTTTCAGTTTATAATCAACTTTTGTTTGAGTTTGTCCACCATGTTTTGTCCGATACTGTATATATAATAATATAATAGTTAATTTTTGAAATATTTTGAACTTTCAGTCGATTTTTTGAATGTCCACCTTATTTTGTCCAAAGAAAAATGTAGTTTGTTAATGTAAATGTGTTATAAAACGTTTTGGGGGATTTTTAGTATTATTCAAAAGTTTTAAATTTTGTTAACATCATAATAAACTACTTAAAAATTATTATGTTTAACTGTTTTACTACTTTTTTTCAGTTTATAATCAACTTTTGTTTGAGTTTGTCCACCATGTTTTGTCCGATACTGTATATATAAATATAAATATATGCTTAATAAAAAATATAGGTTTGCAAACTATCAAAGAACTATAGTTTTTCTTCTTTATTAATAAATATAATCCATTCACTTTAATAAAATTTCCTAGGTGATTAAAAAAAAAAAAAATGAAGAGAAATTAAAGAGTACAGTCAAATTTTACCTTTTTTAAAGGTTATTTAAGGACATTTAAGGAGGTTTTTATTTTTTAAGGATATTTAACATTTTTATAGAGGAGTGGGACAATTACAACTCAGTATAATAAACTAAATTATAACTACTAAATTGTATCAATATAATGTGTTTATTTTTATTTCTTGTAAAAACAGAAAAAGAAATTCTCTTAATGTTAGTTACTTCGATACAGGTATATCTTTTTCAGAAAAGGATAGTATATTTTAAAAAAAAGTGTCTTTTTTTTATTCATTTAAATTTTTGATATAATTTAATTTGTCCTTTTTTTAAGAAAATGATAAAAAGTTGTCAATTTATTAAAGTTGTCAAAAGAAGAATTTTTATTTTAATTCAAAAAAATTTATTACTCTAAATGTTTGCATTTTGCAAAATTTGATATTCAATCATATCAAAGATATATCATATGATATCTTGTTATTGATTTTATCAACTTTGTTAAGATTGATGATATCAAAAACAAGACATCATATCTTTGGATATCATATGACATCATATCTTTGGATATCATATGATATCATATCTTTGGATATCATATGATATCATATCTTTGGATATCATATGATATCATATCTTTGGATATCATATGATATCATATCTTTGGATATCATATGATATCATATCTTTGGATATCATATCTTTGGATATCATATGATATCATATCTTTGGATGATTGAATATCAAATTTTGCAAAATGCAAACTTTTTGAGTTATAAATATTTTTACATTGAAATAAAATTCTTACTTTCACAACTTTGATAAATTGACAATTTTTTATTGTTTTTATATCAAATAGAATTAAAGTATCTGTGGTTTGGGGAAAAAATTATGAAGCTTTAACTTAATTAAATTATGAAAAATTAACTACAAATATGCAACTTTTAAATACACTTCTCTGTAGGTTAAAATATGTTTGTTTTTATTTCTTTTAGTTTTAAGTTTGAAATACATGCTTTTCATAATGGGTTTTAGTAAAAACAATTTTTTTTTTAAAAATCAAATAGTATGATATACCCTAATAAAGTTTAAGCTTTTTATCATCCAATGAATTTTTTTAAATGTATAAATAAATTTTTTTAAATTTATAATGTAAATGCATAAATTAATTTTTTTTAATTTATAATTCCAAATACAACATATCAAGATATAAAATAAGTTTTATGTGTAATGCATACCATTTTTTATATAAAAATATATAAATTGAAAATATAAGTACTTTTATGAAATGCTAAGGAAATTAAGTTATTAATTGAAATGAAATTATTTAAAATGAATCAAATGATACCTAGAACAAGCCTATTTTAGAAGGGTAACTTAACACTTAAAGTAGGTAACAGTTTTACGTACTACATATTAATTTAAACAATTTTTATAGCATTTGATTGGTTAGATGATCTTTTATCAAATATACAAATTTATCACTTATGCAAACAAAATCATTTCTTTTAATATAACATATGTAAGCATATACCTTTAATCTGTAATAATTGAACATACCAAATATATAAAAAAGCGATTACTAAAAAAAAGATAAATTTTTTCAAAAAAAAATTATACTTGAAAGTCAAATAATTCAACTAAAAAAAGTTACAAACCTCATCTTCACAAACAGAAAACTCTGTGACAGTATACTCGCTGGGTGACGGACTAACTGGTGCTAAGTTTCTAAAAGAATCGCTCATTGGAGTAACACTAAATAAAATAACAATAAATAAGGTAAATAATAATAACAAGAAATAAATAAATTGAAAACAAAAAAAAAATAACAAGAAATAAATTGAAAACAAAAAAAAAAACAAGAAATAAATATATTGAAAACAAAAACAAAAAAATAACAAAAAATAAATAAATTGAAAACAAAAAAAAAAATAGTAAAAAATAAATAAATTAAAAACAAAAAAAAAAAAAATAACAAGAAATAAATAAATTGAAAACAAAAAAAAAACTAATTTAAAACAAAAAAAAATTCAAGTAGTAAATTAAAAAAAAAAACTAAATTGAAAACAAAAAAATAAACTAATTGAATACAAAAAAATAAACTAATTGAAAACAAAAAAAATAACAAGAAATAAATTGTGCACAAATAAACTTAATTTAATTTTATCATTTTTTGATAAATTATTAAAAACAAAAATTTAAAAAGTAAATTTTAAAAAAAAACTGTTTCCAACAAAAAATTAAAATGATGCATTGTAAATTGTGTTCTTATTCATCATCGCTGTCAAATATTAGCTATCTAATCTGTCTTCATTTTTCTTATTGGCTGATAATCCTCTTCACTTTAAAATTTTTTCTTTGGTTTTCAAAAGTAATTTTTTTTTTGTGATAATTTCAAAACCTAGTTTGTATGGAGCTAAGCAATATTGAAATTCTCTTTTAAATTTTTCACTGCAAATTATTGAAGAATCATTTTGGATTAATTGGATATATAAGTCATATCATAAGCCATATCATGATTTAAAAAAGAAACCTTTTTTTAAATCAGAAATGAAGTTTAAAGCAGATTTGTTTTTTCAGATTTGTTATTTAGTGTCTTCTTCCGCAAATATTTCAGACATAGACTCAATTAACTCTGCTAATTCTTCTTTGTTTAAGCTGTGTTCCTGAGATAGTTGCTCTATATTTTGAACTTGTATATTTTCAAATCATTCTTTGCCAAAAGTAGAAGCAATCTGTATTATTTCTGTTAATGTTTCTGAGATATTGTCTAACCTTTGAACCATTTGAGGTAACAAAGGTCTCCAACATGCTTTAAGTGTTGATCATTTAATTTCCGTACAAGCTAATGAAACAACTTGAGTGCAGTCTAAAATAGAAAATTCTTTCTGAACTTCAAAAAGAGTTTTACATTCTTGATCTGTAATATCTGCCAACAGAATACTGTCATCAAAACTATAATAGTGATGGATTTTGATGGTCCTAACTGTGTTAGAATTTAATCTTTGGATAAATTGGCATTTATTCTCCAATCTGTAATGTATTGAAACCCTGAAGATATATAAAATTAGACAATGCAAATATTTTAATATTATTAAATTCAACAAGTTAAAAACCTGATATTTCACTTGGCTTTTAATTCAAGGATTAACTTGATAGGCAGAAAATCTTACTCAGTGTTTATTTAGAACAGTACATCCAAGACGGTGCATGAAAAACTAAATAAGACACTATAAAGGTTTGTTGCGCCTGCAAGGCATTATAAGATTTTGTTGCAAACAAAACACTTAACACACATAACTGTAACTTAACTCTGTTTTAATGTTTATATTATTTAAAGTTATATTGCATTATTAGTATTTTAAAGTTATATTGCATCATTAGTATTTTAAAGTTGTATTGTATCATTAGTATTTTAAAGTTATATTGTATCATTAGTATTTTTAAGTTATATTGCATCATTAGTATTTTAAAGTTATATTCTATCATTAGTATTTTAAAGTTATATTGCATCATTAGAATTTTAAAGTTATATTATATCATTAGTATTTTAAAGTTATATTGCATTATTAGTATTTTAAAGTTATATTGTCAGGTCAGGTTATCCTGCTACAGGTAACATGTAACTCAGTACAATCTGCTTCATGTCATGCTGCCTTGTAAGATATGTCTTTTTAGGCAAAGACTAGGAGATGCTAACTCCAACATAAAACACCCCCTGCCTTGGGGCACTTGGTTAAGTAAAGGCTAGAGATGGTGTCTCGATAAAAATATTCATCTTGGGCAGATGTTAAATGCATCCGGCAGCTGTCTTATAGAAGGCCTCCTAGGCAAAGACTTAAAGGGTAAACTGATTATATCTGTTGACCAGCCTCACACCCCTTCCTTATCTATTAAGCTGACACAGATGTATTTTTAAAACATTGTTTCCAGTTTAGGAAGTTGAATGCCGGATCTTCTTAACTTGATGCATTTTTTATTTTTGATGGTTTTGCTTGTGTCTCTGCTTTCATGACTAAGCAACTCATTCTATTATCTCCTAATGAGGGTACAGCTCTAAAATTCAGTTTTATGGTTCTGAGGCCAACTGGTAGTCAGGTTTCTCTGAGAGAGTCAGGTTTCTCTGTTGATGGAATCAGCCTCTCTGAGAGCTACCACTCTGTGGTAGCTCTCAGAGAGGCTGATTCCATCAACAGCTGTAGAATATCAGAGTACTAACAGTGCCTAGTTTTGCATGGATGGTGTCCTTATTCGTGCTTTTGGTGTGCATTTTCGAGACCAATAACTATATAAAACACAAAAAATGATTGCCATCACCAAATTTTTTAAACGTTTCATTCAGTAATATTTGCAGCCTTCAAAGTAACTTTTCTTCTGTTGAGTCTTATCTCTTGCAAAGTTTACCAGACTTACTTGCTCTTTGTGAGACTAATTTAAGTTCAGCTGTCTCATCTTGTGATCTTAGTGTTGATGGTTATCTTCCTTTGATTCGTAAAGACTCCAATAGTCACATGCTTAGCCTGGGTATTTACATTCGTAAGAATTCTCCCATTTGTCGGGAAACTAGATTGGAATCCACAGACTACTCTTTTATGTGCTTTCGTTTAGCACCACTTCACTCTATCACCTTTCACTTTGTTTTATATCGCTCTCCTTCATCTCAAGACGATTTTGTCTAATGCTAAAGCCTGCTATTCTCAGGTCATGAAATCTCATCTTTCATCACAAAAATTAGGCTGTTGTGAATTCTGGAGAATTTTTAATAGTATCAATAATAAGGGCAAGTCAGTAATTCCACCTCTTTTGTATGGTTCAGACTTTGCCACCTCACCTAAAGACAAAGCTGAATTATTTGCTAAGAATTTTTCATCAATATCATCTCTTGATTTCATTAGTTGCATAGTAATGATGTAGCTGTCAAACAGGTTG